AAATGTATACATTTCCTAGGAATTTTATGAAATTCCGATATTGTACTAGGAAATGTATAAAACTAATGTTTTCTGTGAGTAAAATACTCCGGCGGGCAGAGTCATTAAATAAACTGTCATTAATATTTATAAAATAACAATATTTTATAGATTTCCTAAATAGCCTAAGAATTGTATACAATTCCTATTTTCATATATTTCTGGCAACATATATATACATAATATTTGTCCGACCTTAAAATGTGGTAACTAATTGATTTAGCTGCTGTTTGTGTTGTATTTATTTTACCATTTACTGCTTGAAATTGTACTTGCATTGTTTTGTTTTTAATTATTTTTTTTTCTTAACATTTCTTAATGGTTTAACTGTTAGGATATTTAAGCGGACTGACTAATATCCGTAATATACTGACACTAATGTCAATCGAATTAAATTGTTAAGCATATCAAGGTTCATGCATCAAGATAGAATTGGTACCTACTTATACTTGGCTATGATAAATTATTTAAACATGTAGTTTTATGCAGTAGTCGAGTAATTTTTAATCGTTTGTCTATTTTTTGTGAATTTCAACATAGGACTTATAAAGTAGTGTATATAGGGATATTCTGTTAGGTTTGATAACAGCTAAGGACCAGTAATGGCTACGATTTAAGCCTAGAACCAAGTGTCAGGGACAATTAGAGCCCCTGTAATTACATGTCAAAAAAACGGCAATTTTTGCAAAAAGTTATGAATCGATTTTAATTTAAAACCTCTCATTTTTTTAATCTTTTTAAGCACTACTTAACTCTATGCTTTGTTTTCCGAAATTTTTTTATTTCGCAACGTCAACAACAAAAAACTGGTTTCATAGACTTTTTGAATTTTTTCTCAAAGAAGCTGCGAAATTTCTTTTTCAAAAAATCAGCTAACCTACACTAACTAGAGAGTGCTTTGCTTCACGTCCTTTGTCGTTCCTTCCTCGAGAAATGATTTCTAAGAACTGTTTTCTGTTTCAGATATGAGCGTCTCCTACGAAGAGCTAAAACGGAAGATTTAACCGAAGTCTCCGGAATTGGGTGCTTGTACCAGTCAGGAGTCGATAGGCTGGGGAGACCAGTGATAGTATTTATTGGAAAATGGTTTCCTTTCACAAAAATTAATCTTGATAAGGTAAAACGTAAATTTTAAATTTAAAAATAACCATGGGAGTCAAAATTGTGTTATCATATTTTTTTTCCCTTTCTTTATTTTTACTTAAATTTCTTTATTTTCTAATAGTCAAAATTGCAACAGTCTTGAAAATTCAGCTGCTAAATTCTAATACCATTGTCGAGGAACAATTGGAACAAAAAAAACTGTATGATCGTACTCTTCCTAGGGTGGCTCTTACCCCTTTTCATGGATTTTTTAATTTTCTTAAAGTCAAAGTTACAGCATTTGTAACTTTCGCAGTTTTTTAAATTCAACGGCCAAATTTTAATAGTTTGGTCCAGGAAATATGGGAACAACAAGTGTATGACCATATTTCCTCTAGGGTGGTTCTTATACCGTTTTCTCGGCTTGAATTTCTTCATTTTCTAATAGTCAAAATTGCAATAGTTGTAGCTTGAACGACTTTCAAGATTTAACCGCCAAATTTTAACAGTTTTGTCCAGGAAACATGGGAACAAAAATCGTATGACCATATTTTTTCTAGGGCAGTTCTTACCCCTTTTCTGGGACTTTTTCATTTCTTTATAGTCAAAATTGCAGTAGTCGTTGCTTATACGGTTTTCAATATTCAACCGCCAAATTTTAAAAGTTTTGTCCATGAAACATGAGAACAAAGACTGTATGACCATATTTTTCCTGGGGCAGTTCTTACCCCCTTACTGGGACATAAATTTTTTCATTTTCTTATAGTCAAAATTGCAGTAGTCGTAGCTTAAACGGTTTTGAAGATTTAACCGCCAAATTTTAAAAGTTTTGTCCATGAAACATGAGAACAAAAACTGTAAAACCATGTTTTTCTTGGGGCAGTTCTTACCCCTTTTCTGGGACTTTTTTATTTCTTCATAGTCAAAATTTCAGTAGTCGTTGCTTATACGGTTTTCAATATTCAACCGCCAAATTTTAAAAGTTTTGTCCATGAAACATGAGAACAAAGGCTGTATGACCATATTTTTCCTGGGACAGTTCTTACCCCCTTACTGGGACTTAAAGTTTTTCATTTTCTTATAGTCAAAATTACAGCAGTTGTAGCTTAAATGCTTTTTAAAATTTAAGCGCTAAATTTTAACAGTTTTGTCCAGGAAACAGGAACAAAAACTGTAATACCATATCTTTCCTAGGCCGGTTCTTACCCCTTTGTTCGGACTAAAAACATTTAGTCAAATCTATAGTTTTAGTTACAATACGTTATTAATATAGTTCTTATTTGTTATAGGCATTATTGTACTTAATTTCTTTACTTGATCCAATCGTAAATGGAGATTACGTTATAGTATATTTTCATACGTTAACATCAGGAAATAACTACCCATCATTTTCTTGGTTGAGAGAAGTCTACAGCGTTTTGCCTTACAAATACAAGAAGAACCTGAAAGCTTTCTATGTTGTACATCCTACTTTTTGGTCAAAGGTAAGAAATGCGTCGATAATATGGATTTTCACCAAGTAAAGGTTGGAACCATTCATGTAGTGTTGTCGTGGTATTTTTTTGTTTACAAATAAAAACCAGGAAGTAGAACCCACTTCAAACTACATATATTTTTTCAGATGATGTGTTGGTGGTTCACAACTTTTATGGCTCCAGCTATTAAACAAAAACTACATAGTCTACCGGGCGTAGAATACCTTTATGCTGTTATGTCTCCAGATCAGTTAGAAATTCCTGCTTTTATTACAGAGTATGATATGTCGGTGAGTAAAAATATCCTTAATTGTAAGGGTTCCATTTTAGCCGTTTCTCATTTCAACATATTAAAGATTAAACTTGTTCTTTTTTTATTTAGACAAATGGATTGCGCTATTTCCAACCAGGGATGCAAACCTAATGATGGGGGATGTCTTGGATTCTTGCAAACTAATGTATCCAAAGCTGTCACCATTATGATACGACTACTCTTATTTTTATTAATAAATATCATATAGTGATATACATACGCAATATTATCGATATTCTCAGTCATCTGCCCTGTGCCAATAAAATCTTATGTTAGTGCGAAGAATGAACGTCAATTTATGCAGAAAATGGTTGAAGAACATTTGTCGTTGAGAATTCCCAGCAGAAAATGGATTAATTAAAGCGTTTTTCTTGTTATGCAGTATTTACCATGATTAATGATAATATACTGTTGTCGATTTAATTTAAGGGCTCGATTTTGTCCTAATTGAAAAACGCAATGTTCAAGATAAAGGAGTTTATTGGCTGAAATATTTATAAATGAAAAACAAAAAATTAATTAACTTTTTAACTCTCTCTCTCTAACAATTTTTTTATTATTTCATTTCATTTATTTTTAAACGCTATTTCGTTCTTTATGGTTTTGGTAAATTCAACTGACTGTGCCAATAAATTTATTCATTCGTGAACAGTTTTATTAGAATATTATTAATAGTCCTGATATTTTCAAAAGTGCTTAAATAAAACAGGGTATCACAAACTTTCAGTTCTGCAAAATAAAAAAACTAATATAAACTTGATTGAAACTGTTGCTACCTCTCGTATTTTTTAGCTACCCATAAAATGCAAATAAAGTTTGTGATTTCCTGAGGATTAGTGGCGAGATGTGTGCAAACCTTTTTGTTTTTCATTTAATAGTAATTAAATAAAAGTTTATTAAAGAATCTTCCAATTAAATTACATTAATTGTGACATATATGTAATAGTTACTTTTATATAGTGTGATAAGTCATATTCTATGATTAAGCTTAAATTAGGCTGTTAGTAAGATATAAAATAAAATCAGCTAACCTACACTAACTAGAGAGTGCTTTGCTTCACGTCCTTTGTCGTTCCTTCCTCGAGAAATGATTTCTAAGAACTGTTTTCTGTTTCAGATATGAGCGTCTCCTACGAAGAGCTAAAACGGAAGATTTAACCGAAGTCTCCGGAATTGGGTGCTTGTACCAGTCAGGAGTCGATAGGCTGGGGAGACCAGTGATAGTATTTATTGGAAAATGGTTTCCTTTCACAAAANTAACTCACTGTTATGGGAGGTATATTCATACATGACCCTCGTCCATTAAAAAACATAGAGAATATCGCTCCAATTTCGTATTTCTTTGACCATATTCTTTAACTGAAATTTGTATGTAACAGTTGCAAAAAATTACTTTGTTTTTGAATTGCTATGTTAATCCTGAGACGTAAAATGTATGATTACATAGTTTTTATTTTAACAAATCGTCTTTCAGAAGGTTTCTCTTCTAATTTCCTTTCTAAAATAAACATCATCACCTGCTGTTACTGAAATTTCACATAAGAATTTTTTGCAATTTTAGAAACATTTTCTTAACAGAGGAATCTTGGGTATTCCTTTTATTGTTAGTATAAAACATACTACATTTAATAAAGGGTAATAGTAGGTATTACGTAGTAATACTTTTATTAGGGACTGACTTAGGAAACGTTCTGTACATAATAAACTCCTATTCTTTAATCCCATTAAATAAATATAACAGAACTTACTTCCTCTAATTACCCTTTATATTGCATTCGATCATATTCCACAAAAAGAAGCAAGAGAGGAATCCTTTAATGATTTCTAAGAATGTTTGTAGCTCATTAAGGTATTAAATATTCACCAATTTTTATCCAGAAAGTTTGTCACTTTATCCATGTAAACATTGTTAAAGTTTTGAATAATAAATTGTAATATAATTCGTTAATATATGTTAACTGCTCAAGCTGTGATAGAAGAAAAATTTTTTGTAAAAAATATATAAAAATACGACGTAAGATAGCAGCTTTCAATGGTATTATTCTATATCATTACGCTCCATATGTGCTTTAAATTTCGTACCTGTAATACACATCCGGAATTGCAAATCACCAGAGAAATACATATATTGTTAATAAAAATAGAATTTATTGATTGTTTTAACATTTTTTACTAGNAAAATATAAACACTATATAGACAAGACCGACAGACAGACATATATCTACTTACTTAAAAATGAAAAGATTCTAGATTATGCAGAACTGATGTGATTAATAATGCTCTAAACTATCCTCGTTCTATCGTATTTTTCTTATCCTAATAAGTATTTTAAAACACTTGTGTAATTAAGTGCATTTTACTTGTAAAGTAATAAAATCTAACATAGTTTATTTTCTATCTATAAATTACAAGTTCAATCACTTTTACAACCTGTATCAGTTTTGTTAATAAAGTTATAAATATATTGAATCATTCCTTTCTGCTTGCAGGTACATTCAAATCTAGTTTCTATGATTCACGTTAGATGGCGCTGCGGCAGCATACTATAGGCTAAAAATAATCCAATATTAATGGAAGGAATGAGATCGACCGTGTGGGCTAGTGGGTGGGTGGAAGTATTGATACTACTGTCATTAGATGGCAGCACTAAATCATTTACATGTCATTGGAAAACTAATATTTATGAAGCTCAACTGTCTTATATTGGGTTAGGGGGCGGGTTTCAAACATGGCCCCCCCACCAAAACAATTCATAATAAGTAAAGAAATTTAAAAACTTCAAGATGGAAATGAATTTATACTTACCTTATACTTTTTCTTTTCGCACGTACCACTACACTTACATCACTTACCTTTTCATGTAAAGTACACACTGGAAGGGAGGAGTAAAGTAATATAGATAGTAAAATCTTTTATTTTTAGTAACGCAAATAAGTTAGGTCACAACTTGCTTTGAAGAATTCATAACAATAACGTATGCTGGTTGCTACCACACACAATAATAATAATAATAATAATAATAAGTAACTGTGTATATTTACAACGTTACGAAGAGTCCTAAGCTGAAAAGGTTTTTTTTCATTTAATTATTTATCATTTTTTGCATCATTAAAATTACCTACACAATACGTTTAAGTATATAATTCTTTTCAATATCCTATTTAACTCGAGTCACGTAGTCTGCGACAATTCGTGCTATTTTTTCATAATCAATTATTCGTCAAAAACAAACTTACAAAAAAACATCACGACGCTAGAGAAGTCAACAATTCTTTATATTATATTATTATTATTTCCTGTTCAATTGTGGCTCATTCAGACGGGTCGAAAGGGGGTTGGGGACTATATTTGGAGGAACACAGTTCGGCAACTGGCTGAGGAGGCAACGACAATAATAATAATAATAATAACAACAACGACGAAAACGATGACTTGGTCGTACGTAACAAGCATTTTCATTTTTTTTTCTTTACTACAAAATGATGATGGAGCGGCATCACCAACTGTGTCCTTTCTTTATGTACTTAATAATGCTGCCGAAGATGTCTTTTAGTCGGAAACGGGGGTGGCCCTCGATCTCTCCTCTCAATTCAATGTAGGTGATGATGGGAGATAGAGGAAGAGCGCGTCGGTACTGTCCATACAGGTGACACCGGCCGTCATAGTTGTTCCTTTGCTGGAACCCATATCGTTGGTCCAGATTGTTCCTCGATCACCTCTTTTACTTTCCCATAAATTTCTTCAGGTGTGTCGCCTTGTACGACCGCTTAACAAAGATAAAGAGTCATATAATTAATTTATCTTTGATTACTGGTAGAAAGTAGAATTGTACATACCTGTGAAATATTCCCCAAACTCTTGCTCCATTTTTAGTGCTCTCTCGTAAGTTTTCTTAGCTTGTTCCTCAGTCATTCTCTTATTCATTTCCCTTAAAAAAAAAAAAAGAAACCCATTTGTATTTTCCGTATTGCTGCTAACAAAAAATTAAACGAATTATGTGTAATAATTACTTACATAATGGATTCCACAGATTTTGGCTTTATGAAAATCGCAATTGGATATAGTTGAGCCACTTGTAGCCTTTTAATGGCATTTCCACTTACATCTAAGATGCAGTGCTTTCCCTAGAAAAAATTGACCATTCAATACCACAATGTGAAACGTTATGAAGGCTCAAACCTTTTCGGCTACCTCTCGAACAGACGCCACCGACGTTCCATACAAATTGTCGTTATACTGCCCTGCTTCGATGAACAGGTGATTTTGGATATCTTTCTCCATTTGCTCTCGAGAAGAAACGAAGTGGTAGTCTCGACCGTCGACTTCATATTCCCTTTTTGGCCGGGTGGTATCTAACAATTGAATTTAATTGTAAAAAGGTTTGCTTCAATCAATTTTGACATTCATCAGTTAATACTATGCATGACATACGTGGTACGCAGCTTCCAAATTTATCGGGAAATTCCGAAATAAGATCGTCGTTGATGCGGTCTTTGAGAGGACCCAAAACGATCACCGGCCTTGTATAAGTGATCTCCATCTGCTGAACGGGTTCGTATGATAGTACATTTTCCTCATTACCTGCGAAAATCGAATGTTAATAGACGAGAGCCTAACGATCGCCGACAAAGCGATAAAAAACTGGTTAATAAAACTGCAAAAAAAATCGGCTGACCAAGTGTTCCAGGTCCTAATTCTAATATGAGCAAAAATTTCAACAAGTCATGTTATTTATAAAAGCTGTTCAAAAAAGGGTATCAGAACAAGAAGAGCTTATACAATACATATTGCTCACTTGGCACTGAATTAAAAGCAAAAATGTGATTTACAAAATGCAAAATATTATATCTTCTAAAATATCATTAGTAGTAAAGCAATCTCAAATGAAAATTGGTTCTAAATACAATATTTTCAGTGGCAAGTGAACTGCGAAGATCTTGAAAAGTGAGATAAAGTTAAGAACATTTAAATAAATAAATTAATAAAGGGACAGACAATGAAAAAAGCACGAACAGAACGACAACAATTTGTATATAATAAAATAATGCAAATAGGCAAACTATAATTAAAAAAATATAAACACTATATAGACAAGACCGACAGACAGACATATATCTACTTACTTAAAAATGAAAAGATTCTAGATTATGCAGAACTGATGTGATTAATAATGCTCTAAACTATCCTCGTTCTATCGTATTTTACATTCAACTATTGGTTCAATAATTTCAATCTAGTAGAAGCGATTTAAATTTTAGTTGATGGGTTCGGTGAACTAAACCAAGGGAAATAAACAACTTAAAACTAAAAGCCAAGTGGATGTTTGTTCCTCTATACGAAACATACGCTTTGGACAGTCACAAAACAAAGAAGATTCTTCTACTGCAGTGGGCGGTGGTGCAAAAATATCGATATGCTTTTGATATCTAATTAATAAACGGAAATGGAGGGGTGACGAAGACAAAAAAATCTTCCGATTGGATTGGATTGACATTAATCGACATCCACACGTCATCAACAAATCGGATATATTATAAAATACTTTGGNTAATAATAATAATGATTTTTGTTATCATCAAAATGATCAAACTATGAATTTAAAACATAATATTCTGCTAAATTCCCCTGAAATTATGGCATATGTAATAATGTAGTACATATTTAAATTGTTTTCACGTAATGTTAAAAACCATAAAGAATGTAAGAAAACTAAGTGAGTTACAGTTTATATTAAAGTTACTGAAAATGCTAGAAAGACAAATGAACTAAAAGCAATACATACATACACATATATAGAGTTAATTAATGTGTATAAATGGTGTGTAATTAGTAAATACGTAATACGAAGAAGCTGTACTAATTACTAATTATTAAATTTACTATGGTAAGATTTTAATTAGATAGATTAATTTTTTGTTCATTAGATGAGTTAAAAAAGTCACTCCTTAGGAATACGTATTAATATTAGAAACTGATCTCCATGTGAGGTATAAATAGCATGTCGAAAAATAGCTTACAGTTTTAATTGAATTATTCAATTATGACATTTTTTTACCTTATAACGGTCTTTAACTTCCAATTTTAAAACTACTTAATTTTACAAACAAAAAATATTAAAATGAAGACTAGTTCTGAAATATGATAGATATACATTTTTATTTTATTTTTGAGAAAAATATTCAAAACAACTGATTTGTTTTAAGTACATGCTGATGGTTTTAAAAATAAAATAATTTTACTTTAATATGTCTTATAAAAAGAAAAATGAAGTTTTCTTTTTTTTTGTCAAATGATTTCTAAAAATATACCCAAATGTAGGCAGATACAAAGACATTTCTTGTAAAGAAAACTAAATAAAAATATCTAGAGATTGACAGGCGTATAAAAGTATTTTTCAAACCACCGATCAGCAAAACAATTCGTTTGTGGATTGTTATTTTTGCCGTTACTGTATAAATTAATTCGATTGTGACTGACAATCTTTCAATCAACTTTTTTTCGGGTAATAAATGATTTTCTGTTCATGCAGCCACGACATACAGCACTTACTATCGTCGTTATTCTCCAAGTAAATTAACGTAATCTCTTCCATGTACGGGAGCTCAACTCGATATAATATTTCACCTGTACTATGGAACACAGAAAAAAGCGAAAAGAAAATTTATATAGTTAAACAACATAACAGAAGACAGGACGCGATTTTGTAGGCATAATAAAATAATACTCTACCTTCGGATGCGGCATCTTCCTGCGTGTAGCACAGCATAAACGCTGGAAGGGACAAGAACAATACCTGTTAGTCAATTTCTCATATCGTCAACCAGCACCTTTTGTGTTTTCTTTTGTTCTTCTATTTTCTCTTTCTTTTTGTGTATACAAAATGTTCCGAAAATGTCAATAAAACTTCAAGTAAGTTTTTAAAATCGATTCGCACATTTGTTAATTTTTTTTTCTTTTTGACACAGTAGAGACTCGACAGTGTGAACATCGCATAACGGAAACTCCGCATGGTGCGAACAGTATTTTAACAACGGTAGGCCACCGTATAACGTAAACAAACCAAATCTTTATAGAAAGAAATTTCTGTACACATCAATACGTATGTATCTAATGATAAATCGCTTGAATTAAATTCTCTTTCAGTTTTATTAAGGAATATTGAGGTCTACGCTTGACGGTTTTCAAAATAATTGCGATTTGTTAATTATTCTGTAATGTGCACAGAAAACGGATATATTTTAGGTGAAATGGGTCTACAGCCGAAAACACATGTTTTCATGTTTATTGGAATTATTGATAAAATTACTTAATCCAACACACAACTAATGTCTTAAAAGATTGCCGTGACTTCATGATATAAAATATAAACAATATTGGGAATGAACTTTATTTACAATGAATTATTAAACATGAAACTAAACGGTACATATTTAATAATTCCTTGTAAACAAAGTTTGTTCCCAATATATGTTTATAAAATCGAAAGAGAATTTAATTTTGCATCCGAAGATGTCAAAATGAACATAGCTTCCCATTTGAAAAAAATGAATTATTGATGTTTGAAACATTTAAAAATTGTACATTATTACTGTAATGATTTAATGTGCTTCGGAAAAGATTTTTAGATGGAAAGCCAAGTGCAGAAAGTAGCTTTTTATCGAGTATAATTGCAGACATATTAAAATTTATATAAGGTACTACAAACGTCAAATTTTCTAGAAATTACTAAATAACTCAAAAAGAAAACGCACAGGCAAAAACTATGCTTAACAAACTGGACATTAAAAGCAATGCTGAATTCAAAAATGTAATAATATACAGGGTATTCCATTTAAAATAAGGCAGCTAATGTATAGTTCCGGTATATCCGGAAGTCCGCCATCTATGAAATTACTTTCCTCAAATGGATTGATTTGATCAAGAACATTTTTTATCAGAAACATTTTCTTCCAAATTCAACGGTAAGACTACCAGAGAGCAAGGCGCCCTTAATGGACTACCCTGTATATAGCATTCGTTAATGAGAAAAAGTCGGTAATGTGAACAGCCGCTGTTTTTTCCGGTTCACATTATTGAGCGTCTATTGTATAACTTAAAATTTTACCAGTTAACAAATTATACATTTTCGGAACACCACGCATACATTTCATTCACTTTTTCTGTTTATACTTTCACGCATTACGTCGTAAAGAAAAACCTTACAGTTGTCTTTAATTTTAGTTCCGGAAATAATTATAATACGAAATATTAATTTTTCAGTTCCCTTTCAAAGAGATGATTATTTTCAAGAATTGAAATTAATGCTGTGTAATAATAATAATAATGATTTTTGTTATCATCAAAATGATCAAACTATGAATTTAAAACATAATATTCTGCTAAATTCCCCTGAAATTATGGCATATGTAATAATGTAGTACATATTTAAATTGTTTTCACGTAATGTTAAAAACCATAAAGAATGTAAGAAAACTAAGTGAGTTACAGTTTATATTAAAGTTACTGAAAATGCTAGAAAGACAAATGAACTAAAAGCAATACATACATACACATATATAGAGTTAATTAATGTGTATAAATGGTGTGTAATTAGTAAATACGTAATACGAAGAAGCTGTACTAATTACTAATTATTAAATTTACTATGGTAAGATTTTAATTAGATAGATTAATTTTTTGTTCATTAGATGAGTTAAAAAAGTCACTCCTTAGGAATACGTATTAATATTAGAAACTGATCTCCATGTGAGGTATAAATAGCATGTCGAAAAATAGCTTACAGTTTTAATTGAATTATTCAATTATGACATTTTTTTACCTTATAACGGTCTTTAACTTCCAATTTTAAATTTATTTTTTTAGTAATTAATAATTATTTATCAATGTAATTCACATTATAATTCGGCTGTTGTAACAAACTATTAGCTCAATTGTTTATTCAATTCATCAATTCGCAATATTTACTAAAATTACTGATTTTTAAAAATGACTTTTTTCAACGCATTTCATAGTGATTAAAAAATTCTGTTTGTTTAATGAGGACTATTGTTTCGTCATTAAATAACGAAATCAAAGTCAACGTCAATAATAATAAAAAATAATAATAATAATATAAAATAACGTATTCAACTACTTACGAGCAGGGTCACTATCTTTGTCGGGATTAGGGGTGGTAGCACGGGAGTCTGTGAGTAAAGAAATTAAAAAATAAAAATAAACGATAATCCCAACCGAAAGGCAAATGAAATAAATTGTATTGTGACACGTGTGCTTGTGTAATATACAACGTTTACTTAAAGAAAGAATACAACACACAATATGAATTAAAATTGCCAGAAACTTACGCTCTTGATCAGATCCATCTTCAGACTTATCGTCTTTGCTTTTCATGAATGGGAACTTTCGACTGAACGAGAAATTCTTTTTCTTTCTGTCCAAAGTCGATTGCTGAAAAAAAAAGGGAATGATGACATACAGGACGAATAAGCCACTTGTAGAAAATTGCTATTTTAGACAAGGTCATTTCTTAGTAAGGATTTCGACTTTAAACATTTTTGAATACCACAATAAATAGCAATTTGCTATAGGCGACGTTCGTACGCTGTTATCCACCGAACGCTATTTAATCTCATTTAATGTAATCATGATAAATGTTGATTATGTTCAATCATGACTGTACGTAATCGTAATCGTTATTTTGATTACAATAATTAGTAATCAAAGTTACAAGATTGAGCGTTTCATGTGGATTATTTGTTAGATGTCGGAGATGAAGTAAAGATAATCTGCAATCACGATTATAGATTACGAATTGTTATCGTGATAATTAATCATTAATCTGATCACATTTTATTCAAAATGTTTAATAGCAACAGGTACGATGGTTTTTGTTTTGTTGGAATTGAGTGCTGACGTGTGCAATGAAATCGAAATCGCGATTCAGGCTTGACAGTATCTAAAGAATACTAACCACCAAGAACTTTTTGATATACACGGTGGTTCGTTCAGAAAAATCAACATTAATTTCAAACTATTTAGTTGAGATGTTTTTTGCCTTATTTATAAATTAAAAACAAATACATACATACATACATTTTTGTCTACTAAATGTTGGTCTGTTTTAATCTATATTGCAAATATATCGGTGTGTAAGTAACCAATTCTAAAACATGAAAAAAAATTCTAAAAATTATTTAGAACGTATTTTTTCGGTAGAATCAGATTCTGCAATTAAAAAAATCGGTTGTCTGTAAAGTCGGTTTACTGACGATAGTTGAACGTGACAACGTCATAAGAAAATACTGATGGAATGGTTTCTTTTTCAAAAGAAAATTTTAATTTTATTTGTTTGATAGATATTTTGTATGGATATAGAGAAGGAGGTAAATGGAAATGTATTATTGTATAGCAGCTGTCCACGCGGACGCATCGCTCACACAAGTAGGAGAGAGACAGATGTCGAACGCAGCCGAACGCGGAGGCCGATTGTGCCTCTTTGTCGCTCGTTCCGCGCTCTCGCTTGCACTTCAAGTCTTAAATGGAACGCCTCAGAGCGAGGTAACGCCGCATGAGTCATGTTTTTTCGTGCGTGCAGCCGGCTCCATCAAATTATAAGACGTTGTCACGTCAAAAATACGGGTTCCTATTAAAAAATCAAGTCGGGCATCTCCGACTATAAAATTTCCTAAACTAAGGGAAGATACTAAGTGAATAAAAATTAGTTTGCTGCTAAAGGTTCGAACTGAACTGAAAAAAGGTAATAAGGTTTCTATTCCCTTTATTTCTACGTGACGTTACGTGACGCAGTTTATACTCACTGTGACCTGCGTGACGCAGTTCTTTTGAAAATTTGGCAGTAATCACGTTATTATTTCGAAGGATTGTCAACACATACCACAAAAGTTGCGCCTCTACAACACTACAAACTACCCCAAAAAAAAATTTAACGCTGTTATCTTCTAATCTTGCAATAAAAATTGAAAGTAATGCATAGGTATACATAGTCGAAATATTCGTTATCTAACTTTAGATTGTCACTACTGAAGTTCTGAAGTAGATTTCCAGAACAAAATTTCGACCCAACTGACGATGTCTATCACCGGGACTAAAAAAGTCCCCTATGACGAATCCTGCGCTACAACCTAATAACTGCGTCTCATTTTGCGCCGGGCTTACCGAATAGATTATTACGGATTGCCGAAATATTACATTTTTTCAACTTGTACTTAACTTAAAAGTATCTTACCTTGTCGATGGCGTTGGGTACATGTCCTTGGAACTTAACGGATCTGTCACGCGCCCGTTGCTTCCTCTCCCAGCGACGTTTCGACGGCACTATGCCCATCCCTTGTTCATCGCCCGTGTTCAGTACTCTTTTTGCCTGCCACCATTCATCGTCGCTGGCGTTTGTAACGTGTAAAATGTCACCGTAATGGAACGCCAAACCCCGGCTAGGTAGGCCGTCATCTTTGATGGGATCGTAGTCGAAAAGCGCCCTAAATTATTTAAATAAACTACTATTCTGGCCGTCGCTAACGTAAGTGACATAAAAATAACAGTTGCAATTGTTAGCATCTAGCAAGGAGCAGTTAGAGATAGCCTTAAATAAAATTAAGGTGACCAACTATTTTTTGTTCAAAAAGAGTACACTTTGCAAGTATTTCATAGGTGAAAAACAAAAAGAAGAAAAAACGATAAAAACATTATTTTCTTTAAAAAACATATTTTTCTTCGGAGTGGATTTTTTTTGCTAAATGACGATGTTCGTCTAATAATGTGGCCACATCTGAACAACTTTTATTTTGCATATTAAATTTGACTGTTAAGACGGCAGATAATGTTTTGACAGAAAGTTGCGACTTCTCACTGCTCCAATAATCATTCCCTAGTGAACAGCAGCATTAGTGTGTGAACAACATAAGGAATTTTCTATTAAAACCTTTAAATTTTCTTGTGGGATATGTTCTACTCTAAAATGCCGAAAGATTTCTACCCATCTTTTGTCAAGTTCTATTTTCTCATCGTTCCATTTCTTCAATTTTTCTTCATTTAAATATAAATTTACTCTTCGAATTTCTTCAAAGAGAAAATTGTCATTAATAACAATATATTTTACTAATACAAATGAGTATAAAATTATACAAATGAATACTTTCAGAGTACAGGATTTGAAAAGAGTACGGTTTGCGAAAAAAGAGTACAAAACTCAGTAAATGAGTACAGTTGGTCACCTTAATAAAATGGAAGTGGTAATGACAAAACAGTATTGTATGACAATAAATAAAAGTAAAGCAAAAATACTGGTATGCTAGGAAAGAAAAAGTAGGGAAAGAGCGAAAATATAGATGTGGGACGAAAAATCAGACTGATTTTCGGTATCTAGGAAGTCAGACAAGTCAGGACGAAAGCAGCAATAGAGATATAAAACAGAGGATAGGGCAGGGCCGAGTCGCCTTCAACAGAAAAAAGAAACATTTCTATGATCGTAAACGATTAATTTAGAAATTCGAAAAAGATTGTTAAAAGTTAATATGTATCGAGAGCGACGATAAGTGGGTGCAAAACATTGACGGTGGACGCGGTGGAAAAGTAAAGGTTAAGTTAGAAGTGTTCTAAATATGGTGTTACAGGTGAATGATGAGGTTACCTATATAGAGAAGATTAGAAATAAGAAGGTATTAAAAAGAATAGGAGAACAGAGGTCACTATGAAAATTGGCTAGTTAGACACATATTAGAAGTAGAAACAGAAGTTAAGAAAAGTGGAGGTAGACCCAGATTAGATTACTGTTCACAAATAGCTAAGGATTTGGAATGTTCTAGTGTTAGGGAATTGCAAAGATTAGCTAAGGATAAAAAAAGGGGAAGTGCGTGTCCAGTCAGTTTTAGGATTGACGACCTTACGTAGATGATGATGAATTTTTAGGGGTCTAATGCAAGTGAATTATTTTTATTCGATGAGCTGGAATAAAGACACATGTAGGAACCTAACAAAATGGTTTTGTTAAAAGGTGATTAGTATTACTATGTCGCTATCTATTGACATTTATTGCTATTTCAAATCCTAGACAAATAATATACAAATCTTACGAAAAAAATAATATAGCTAGTGGTGTAACTAACGGATCAATAATGAATAGGTAACCAAAAACTAAAAATTACAATTTGAAATTTTATTGAATGATACTGTTTGTCATTTTTATTTTAGAATTTATTTTATAGGTACCTAGTACACGAGTAGTGGTTGATTTTATTTAACACAATTGCCTCGTATGTACATAAATCAACCAGGTGTCATTACAGCGAACTACATACGTCACTATTTGCGCCCGAATACAATATTTTAAATGAACAATTTTCATGGAACATCCCTTTAACGTGTAATAAAATAAAAAAGGGACTGACAATTAATTACGACATGCATCTAACAAATTTCAAATGTAGAATATAGCGTCAGACATTAGCGCTAGCTCTGTAGTTGTGCTGACTATAAAAAGCTCTTCAAATTTTGTAAACATTTGATAAGCAGCATAATACGCTACACACAATATCACAATATTGCCCGGTAATTCCGTAAAAGTACGTTAAATAATCGCACAAAACCTCATAAATATTAATTAGACATGTACAATCTTGCAACAATTACCACAATATCGCAGTGAATAATAGTACTATTACTAGCTATTCTTAAATAATTCCACTCGTTTTATGTTTGTCGACGTTTTTTCAACGAGTTAGAAATTTGGGAGATGTAAAGCAATTTATTTCGAATGTTGTTACTCGGTACTTGAAAACTGGATATATTTTAATATTCAAATTTCATTAAATTGCAAGATGCAAATTAATAATGAGCAACCGCAGGACCACAAGACTAAATAAAATATCAATAACAAAATTTTCATATTTTGGAAAATTGCAGTTGAAAATTTTTGGTGTTCATTAGTTTCAGCTTTTCCATTTGAACAAGTAAACGAAAAATAGTAGGGGAAGAGAAAAAAATTTCCAGAAAAAAACCCATAATTTTTCCTGGTGGTTTTTTTCCGAAGAAATAGTTTTCAGAAGCTTTTTTCCTTTTTCATTTCAGATGTTTTTTATATTAGGGGGCATGGCTTGTTTTGCACGCGGTGGGCCTGAGCATGATCAAGGGGTAAGGTAAAATAAACAAATCCGTTCTTGTAGTGTAAGTTAGGGTTAGTAAAAAAACTAGAGAATATTTAAATGTACTTTTAATAAAATGTGGCCAGCGACTTGTTTCTTACCTTACATAAAGTGACCGTTTCTGTGACGTCCTCAGTAATGTGCCTGTCATGGATTGCTGAGACATTTGCTGTTTCAAGTCATGGATTTTTGCCTCGAATCTATTGTACTCTTCCGGCCGGTACTGAACCACTAGAGTCACAGTTTGGTTGGTTCCCTGTGAACAACACAAATGCCGAGGAGTTCTTTTGGGTCCCATTTTCATAAAAAAAAAATCGAATCGAATGTGTCAGAAAAAATGACACCGGAGAGTATCACTAGCTGTTCTCGAAATGAATCATTTTTCCTTCCTGTTTGTTTTTCACAGAACGGTACGCGCTACTACACTGTTACGTGTGGCAAACTCATTACTTTCACGGTTACTGTGAAAAATCCACCGCTCGAGATGATAAGACGGCAACATCATTAATTTGATGTAACCTTAAGCGATTCATGCCTATGTAAACAGCTCTTACACTAGATTAATCTGATGAACAATATTATTTTCGATCTTGCGCAACGTGTCCCGTCTCAACTCTACAAGGTGGATCAATTTAAAAGTTTAATAGCTGAACAGTACACCCTTAAAGACATGGGTAGAAAAATCAGTGAACCTGAATAATAACATTTTTCTGTTCCAATGATAGACAATCTGTTATTAACAAAAGTGTTGCAAAATTAGAAAACAATATCAAAAAACTGTTATGAAGATACTGGTTAAAAGTAAGCATTTTTAGAAAACTGTGTAACTGTAGGGATAGATATACAGGGGTAAAAGATTAGTATGGTTAGACTTGCAGGTGAGATAGCACTATTAGCATCTAGCAAGGAGGAGTTAGAGATAGGACGGAAGGAGTAGTAGGGATATAAAGAGAGGATAGCGCAGGGTAAAGTCGTCTTCAATAAAAAGAAGTCACTTCTATGCTCGCGAACAGTTAATTTAGAAATTAAAAAAGATTGTTAAAGGTGTATGGGGCGCGACGCTGTTCGGGTGCGAAACATGGACAGTGGACGCGTTCGAAATGAGGTGTTACAGGCGAATGGTGAGGATACCGTGGATAGAGAAGGTTAGAAATAGAGAGGTATTGGAAAGAATAGGAGAACAGAGGACTCTGTGGAAGTCAATATGAAATAGGCGAAATAGGTTAGTAGGACACCTTCTCAGGCATAAGGGTTTGGTCAGAAACATATTAGAGGCAAAAACGGGAGTTCGGAGGGGTAGAGGTAGACCTAGATAAGACTATTGTTAGCAAATAGTTAAGGATGTGGCTTGTTCTAGTTTTAGGAAAATGCGAAGACTACCTAAGGATAGGAAAGGGTGGAGGTGCATGTCCAACCAGTCTTAAGACTGACGTCATTATGACGATGAGGCGATCGGTGTACCCTCAGAGAAATAGGTAGAAAAATCACTGAACCTCGCTAATAAAAATAACAGTTTTTTGTTCGAATAAAAGACAATCTGCTATTAACAAAAATGTTGCAAAATTAGAAAACAATACTAAAAAATTGGTAAGATACTGGTCAAATGTAAGCACTTTTTCTATTTTTAGAAAAATGCATCCTTTTCGAGTGATAGGCAATTTAGAAAAACTAAATCTTATAAGAGTCTTAAATATTAAAACAAACTACCCCTATACATTCTAATTTCTCACTGCTTCAAGGCACATGCATGAGAGTTCTTAATCAATCCCTGATAATATGGAGGATTTACTGTTCCGAACTAATAGAAAACCAGAAAAAAAGTAGTAAAGTACAAATACAAACATTTCTATTAGATCGTGAAATAATCTAATTATTGCATTTTAGAGCGATACCAATCCCTCATTGTTATTGTAGTCACAAAATTGAGCAATTTAACACAGCTGAATTGCGGCATTCACGACTTCACAACACATGCACACCACCACTAGGTAGGTTCTTGATTAGTACGTAATACACATATTATTACTTGCAGGTGATCATAAACTGCATAATAGTGGTAAGCAATTTGTTAATGAAGCAAAATCACTTTGTTTCTGCTTCAGTTCCTAGATTTTTAAACAACAGTCATTAACATATTTTCATATACACATTCACCTATAAGTGTTTGAACAATTAATTAGAATCAATTAGAAAATTCTACAAATGGCGCAGTAAACGCCATCTGTAGCACGATGCTACATTTTAGGATTACGTATACTCCAACAAGGTCCACTTGTGTGGATATCTACTTGCTGAAACGAATCCCGGCGTAGCCAACCTCAACGTGATAAGCACGTTAGCTTAATCGAATAAAGTAAAAGTAAAAGTTGGTCTGTGTTCTGTCGGAGCTGCCTGCGACGCGCTGATGAGATCCGAAAAGATCGAAATCGCGATCCGCGTCTGGCAGTTTCGACAGAATACAGACCACTTCGAATTATTTTATTAGAATCAATTATTTTCGAATTTTAAAGGCAGGCGCGTACCCAGGGGGATCATAGGGTTAACCCCTCCCCCAAAATTAAAAGAATACCCTAAACAAGAAATGATAACACCATAATAGAAAAAGTTGTAGTGAAGGATCGCAGGATCTATTTAAATTTGAGAAAGTGACTACTTATAATAAGTCGTAAAATTTATTTTTAGAAATATGTAGAGGGTAGTGACAGCAAGTAATGGTGATTTTGTAAGAAATATGGTTTATGGTAAGGGTTCGAACCGAGCAAGCGTACGGAAATAAAAGACTAATTTTAATTGAAAACAGACACACCAATGTGTGCTAGCGATTTTATACACAATATTTACGCACATTTCATGAAGAATAAATTTAGGTCCAGTTTATATACAAAAATAAACATAATTAAATTAAAAATTATGTCTCCCCCCCGAACGAAACAACAAGTAAAAATTGATGAAAACATTCCTGAAGGGAAAAACTAGTAGAAAGATCACATCTGGATAGTTTGTTAATTTCTTCCAAGGTAAAATACACTTGTAGTTTACAAATAATTTATTATAACCACTATAATTATTTCGACACACTGTGCCTTCTTCAGGTGGTGACGATATCTTCATATAATTTATATAAATTATTTGTAAACTCAAAGTGTATTTTATTATTTTTAAATATGGAGTTACATTACTTGAAAGCTTCATCGATTCAATTTTT